TTGGATGCTTTCAAGCTCATCAGAAACTGCAGCCCCATCAAGTACCAACAGCCGCCTACTCCACCAAATCAAGACTTTGAGAGAATCGGCCGATCCCTGCATCCCTTCAAGCCTCTCTCCTAAGCTGAGCGGAGTAGCAGTGACCTCAGGCCCTTGATGAACCTCATCAGGAGTAAGAGCAGCCCACCAAGGTTGAGGGCCGACAAACTTTGTAACCGGCATAACCTCTTGTTGCAGGGACGCCTTAAGTGTTGGAACATCACTGATGTCAGCAGCAATGCGCGCTGCTCTGCATATGGCTGACTGTTGGAATTGGGCCTTGGCACGCTTGACCGTCCAGAACTGCTTGCGGCACACTTCACAGACGAGTTTAACCCTGAACCATATGACAGGGGCCCAGATAGCACAGCGCGCGACAGGCGGAGAGGGCTAGCGTCGAGGGAGTCGCTTAGGGTTCAGGGTTTAGGGTGGTCTAAGTTCCCAAATAGTTAAGAGGGCTTTAGGCGCCAAAAGCCTTTCAGATCATAGTATTCTGGGCTTCGTTACCAGTCACAGCATTACCATGGGCACTCCAATATGTACCTCCCCAATGCCTCAACAAACCCGAAGAAGCAACCTGATAGTTCATCTCCCCACCCACTCAACGTGGCGAGTAGACATTCCGGCCCCCAAACAATACACATTCCACCTTGTTTTTTCGTCATAGAGCTTATGCGTTTCGAGGCTCTCCATGCCAATCTCTATAGGTACGTAAGAGGCCCACTAAAGTCTCCATCCTAAGCCCTAAATTCTAAAATCATATAAACCTAAGTGGCATGGACCTTCATGTATAGTATGACGATTGTCCTTTTACTCCTTTTTAAGAATAAAAAACAAGCTTATGCCATGAATGGTGCCATCAAACGGCAAATATTTCACACAGATTGTCCAAACATATGCCGTGAATGTGCATGAGTCACATATTCGTTCCGACTACCATGTTCAAGTTCTTGATAAACGGTACGAGGAGCTTTCTTTTTCTTTACTACAGGATAGAGGAGGTGTCCTATGCCGTAGAAACAAATAGAAGAGCTTCGTGTTCTTCATCTAAAAATAATGGATCTCTCATATTCTTTATTGAAGGACAGAGGAGGTTGCCTATTCCTTATTAACAAATGGGAGAGCTCTCGTATTCTGTATTAAAGAATACAAAAGCTCTCCTATTCTTTCTTAAAAGGTAAAAGGGGCTCTCTTGTTCTTTGTTCAAGGATAAAGGAGCTCGCGCATTCCTTCTTCACAAATGAAAGATCTCTCATTTTAATTAAAGGACAGAGGAGGTTTGGACAGCTCTTCTATTGTTTGATAAGGAACAACAAAGCTCCTTGATTTTTGTAATACAGGATAGGAGAGGTGCTCTTTTTTTAATGAAGACAAGAGAGCCCTCCCATTCGTTAATACGGATTAGGAGAGCTCCTCTATCCATTAGTAGAACTCCTCAATTCTCTAATACAAATTAAAAGAGCGGTTCTAGTCGTGAAAAAGGAGTAGGAGGCCCCTTTATCCTTCAGTAAAGAATAAGAGAATTCCTCTATGTGTTAATGGGAAAAAAGAGCGCCTCTCTCCGTGAATAGAGAAGGGAGCTCTTGTATTGCTCGACATAGATAAAAAGGTTCCTCTGTCTGTAATAAAGAATAAGCGAGCTCCTGCGTCCATTAATAAGGAATAGGAGAGCTGCTGTATTTTTGAATAACGAATAAGAGATAGAGCTCCCTGATTTTCTAATGAAGAACAAGAGAGCTCCTCTCTCCGTCAAGAAATAAGGAATAAGCGACCTCCTCTACCCATGAGCAAAGAAAAAAGAGCCCCGTTATCTTTTAATAAAGAATAGGTTCTGTGGGCTTGCGCTGCTCCTAGCCTCAAAACTTACAACTACAAGAAAGCAGAAGGCACTTCTCCCTTTTTCCTTGGGTTGCTCTGAGTGTTGCGCAGAAGGAGGGCTTGCAAAGGCTCTGGGCTTCAAGCCCGGGTCCCCTTTCGTTCTACCCCCATTGTGAGAAAAGGGCCAGAAAATTCTGGGCTGAACGCAATGTCCAGGCTATGTGAAACTTAGTTGAAGAACCACACTCAGCGTGTGTGGGCTAACCTGAGTAGGCTAGGCTTGAGCTTTGTGCTGGACTGTTGTCCTCAGCGCGCTGCCCTGGCGAGGGCTCTAAGAAGGCCAGCGGGCCTAGTAGCAGGCGAGCTACTAATTGCTGCGTTGAAGGCTAAGGCGGCAGCTGTGGGAAAAGGCGTTTTCCTTGGCCCCTGTTCGGTAAGGGACAAGGCTTGAAGGTTGTAGGCTGGTGAAACAAACCGTAGGCTCACGGCGAATCATCTCCACCTGGGCGGCAAGGCTTAAGGTTTGTCGGGCAAGAAACAGGGTTGGGAGGGTGGGAAAAGTTTTGTAAAGTAGAAAGCGATCTACCTACAAGGCTTGTAGTGGGCTGCCTGTCTTGGCCTAAGAGAAAAGAAAACTCTCAACGTTCTGTGGGCTTGCAGAGGATTTTCGAGGAGTTTCGAGGATTTTCGAGGAGTTTCGAGAAGTCTCGAGGGGTTTTCGTCGAGTTTCGAGGAGTTTCGAGGAGTTTCGAGGAGTCTCGAGGAGTCTCGAGGTTTCTCGAGGAGTTTCGAGGAGTTTCGAAGGAGTTTCGAGGAGTTTCGAGGAGTCTCGAGGAGTCTCGAGGAGTTTTGAGGAGTTTTGAAGTTTCGAGGAATTTCGAGAAGTCTGGAGGGGGTTTCGAGAAGTCTCGGGGGTTTTCGAGGAGTTTCGAGGAATTCGAGGAGTTTCGAGGAATTTCGAGGAGTTTCGAGTCTCCGAGAAGCTCCGAGGAGTTCGGAGCCCCAAGCAGGCTTGGGTTCTGGGGGGTTTCGGGGAGTTTCCTTGCTCGCGCCCGGGCCCCACTTTGGCTCGGGCTTGGGTGCTGCTGAAATTCCCAATCCCCAACACTGGGACTGCGCTAGGGCCGCTATAGGTCGTATGCTGAGTTTATGTTGGGGCACCTCGTGCCGATTACTTCTTGACCAAACAGCGTCCGACCGTGCGCCCAGTTTAGCCATTATCTGCATGAGCCGAGCTCACACCGTGTCCTCTTGAGTGGCCTCCTGTGCCTGAGCCGTGTCCCCTAAAGAGCCTTCTCCGCACGAGCCATGACCTCTTAAAGATTCTTCTTTGCCCAGCCGTGGCCTCCCCTTTGCGCGACCGTGACATTGGAAAGTTAAACCATGAGCCTTAGAGAGCTAAACCGTGACACGCCTGCAGCCCACACCGTGACACACCCTTTGCCCGCACCATGACCTCCACTTTATAGGACAGTTAAGCATTCCATGGCCTTATCAAGTTGTAAATTACAGTGGTGTGCCCCTGCCTACACGTTGGGGTGGGCAGAGAGCAATAGATGACTGTTTGGCCAGTACAGATGACGTGTACCAGGACCCTTGGTTTCATGACGAAGCCATTGCGGACCATCGCATTGTGTGCAGCAACCTCAGATTGCTGTGTCCTGACAAACAGCCTGTTCTAAGATGGCTAAAGCAAGGTTTTAAGGGATGCCCCAAGGGTTTTGATAGGCAAAAATGGGATGATTTTTTCCTTGAAAAATGGCAAAAGTTGCAGAATCCCGATTGCCCGCAAGTCGCGACGCAGGCAGAACTTGATGAAGCATGGCAGCATTTGGAGGCTTGTTATGAAATTGCGCTCAATTTTGCGTGCCGGCGCGCGGCGGATGACATGAATCAAAGTACAAGCAATTTTTTATGGTTTGAGCAAGGGAAAAGTTAGTTTTTCGCATGGGCGCCCGACAATTGGAAACCTTGATTACTGCATGGATTCCTTTGTGGTCCGTAGACTTCGAAATGCAGTAGGGCGTCTGCAGGAAATGCGAAAAATGGAGCTTCGACCAGGCTAGTGAAGCTTATCGCAATTTGTGTGCTAAGGTGGCCCGTGCCCCCGGACACTTGCTGGGTGATACGCGTCAAAATCTTTCTCAAGCGCAAACTTTACTTAGGGATACCAGACTGCAGCATCAACACGATAGGTGCGATGCATGGAAGAGTAAGATGCAAGAATCAGACTCAGCCTGCTTTGCATGGCTTTGTACTGATGCTTTCATGCCGGATAAGGGCCTCATAGCTGAGGATCTTCACGAGCACACAGCAACCAGCTGTACACAAGATGCTCTCCTCATAATTAGGGATGACTGGCGTACGGTGAAATGCCTAGTCCTGGCAGATATAAAGCTGCAACGGCGCAGCTTGTGCCACAGCGTGCTGCAGTGGCCGCCTGGGCCCCTCTGCGTGTCCAAGATGTAGTGCAAGCCGCGTGCAGGCAGCGTGGCAAGGCTGCTGGTGTTGATCAGTGGCACGGCAGTGAAGTAGCTAGCATCCCTGCTAGTGCTCTTGAAAATTTTGCAGAGTTTATGGCCTGCTGTGAAAGAAATGGTCTAGTGCCAAGCCAGTGGGCCAAACTGAGGCAAATTCACATCCCCAAACCTGGTAAGAAAGTGCGCGGGGATGGGGCCAAGGATTGCCATCTCAAGCGTATGGTACAGAGTGTGGGCCACTGCTAGGATCCACTCAGAGCCTGCCATGGCATGGTTCTCATCTTGGGTCCTGTCGCAAGCATGTGGCGGACTGAAGGGCAAGGATGTGCATACTGCGCTTGGACCTCTTATCCAAGCGGCCAGGCAAGCAAAGTATCTGGTGTCACTTGATTTTTCGCTTGCCTTCGATCACTGTTGCCCTGCCACGACGGTATGGTTGTTTCAAAGGTTAGGTCTGCCTGTTGGCATTGGGCAGATGCTGCTTGGTGCTTGGACGAACCAGACCCGGTATATCGAATATGACGGCTGTGTTTTGCAAACCCCTGAAAAGGTCAGGCGCTCTCTCCCTCAAGGGGATGCATGGTCTCTTTATGGTCTGATTGCCCTGCTGACGCCTCCGACCATAAATGTGCAAAATTCGTACCCGAATACCATCCACAAAACTTACGTGGATGATCGTAGCTGGGCGTCCAACTCTTGTGCGGAGGCCTTGGCAGTTGAACGAACTTGGCAGCACTGGACCAATCTCCTAGGTTTGAGAGAAAATACTATGAAGTCTCAGTATTTTCACCAGTCTGCTAAGGGGCGAAGGGGGTTTATCGAAAATGGTATTTCCCGGGAAAAGGTTTCCGACAGTCCCTGCTTGTTGGGATGCTGCAAATCCTTGCGGCAAGGAATCGAGAAGCTCTTTCAACGAGGCATTTTGAGGCGAAGCGGCGCCCTCTTTGCCTGTGCCTTTACCTTTGCCTCCTTTGGCACCTCCTTTACCTTCCTTGCCTTTGCCCTTAGGGAAATGGGGAAAGGTTGAGGCTGCTCCACGGGTTTAGACAATGGGGTCAGACATGCCAGCGCAAGAGGGTTTTGGGCCGCAGCCTCCAAATGCGTATCCAATGGAGGGGGAAGACCCACCCCGATCGTCAAGCTGCCGCGGCTTTCTTGGAAGACCACCTGCCAACACTTCTGATCGGCGGCAATGATTTGCTGAACTGTCATGTAGCGGTGCCCTGCTGGCGTCAAGCAGTGCCTGGAACACTGCGATTGCGCCAGGCTTCCTGGGCTGTAAACCCTGCAAGCCCCACGTGATCAAACGCTAAGGCACGCCGGAGATAACACTGCCTCAGTTTAAGCTCTCCTGAAGTTTCACGGCGCAATTGCATGGCCTGTTTGGTCACTTTGATGCTTCCATCCGCTGAGAACGACAGCTTCTGCTCACTCTTGTCACCATTGATTTCATCCTGGCGGGCCACGCGCTTCTCGGGGGCCAAGTACAGCACTTGAGCTGAATCAAGCATGGCCTGGGCACGATCAACTAAGCAATGTCCCGGTTCCGTGCGCACGTCCAATTCAATGCCTTTCAAGTCTGCTCGCTGACGCTTCAGGCGAGACATCCTCTCTGCAAGGGGGAGCTCACGAGGAGAGGTATCACCGGTTCTCGAAGCCCTAGCTTCGAGATCAACCAGCGCGTGGCTATGCGCCTCAAACCATAGCCTCCTGAGAGTCGTGGTCTCCTTTTGTGGAACATCTTTGCCTATGAGGTCTTTTACTGCCTCAAACAAAGGCTTGTCGTCGCCTGAGTTTGGTCTGCAGCTACACACAAAGGCTAGCTTCCCAAAGGTATCAAGATGTTTATCAGTGAGCTCCTTCAAGAACGAGGCATCCATGCCGATCTGCGTGGTTCTCTCGGCAAAGGCGGCCGTTGATTCAAGTCCAGCCATCGCCGCCTCAGTGCAGCCTCCAGCGATCGCAGCTGGAGGATATTCAGCTGATGATAATTACTGACCCGAAAACCGGACGCACATCACACTCGCAGCTGATCTAATCGGACGGATCAATCCGGGAATGGTCAAATATTTCAAAGTCACTCTGCTTCATGCTCAGCAGATTAAACATCGCATCCGTGAAATCAACGGAAAAACTGAGAGACTTGGCCTGTAGCCAAGGCCCGGCAGATCCCATGCCGATCAGTTCCGAAACTCAAGAACAGTGATCAACTTGCAAGCTCAGCAAGCAATGTGTCATGCGTCTTGCAATCCAGACACTGTAAGGCGGCGCGCTCAACCGCTTGGCCAGACACATCTCTGGGAGCCGGGCTGACGATACCTTGCGATGCAGCTCAGCCCTGCCCTGTTTCCCTCTGCAGCCAAAACTGTCCGAAACAAGACATGGCGCAAAAATTCACCTGATCAGCGCAGCGCAACATGACTCTCACTCAGAGAAGGCGCGACTCTTTCCTAGACCGCTGCCGAACACTGCTGGCAGACATCAAGCTGCGGCTCTTCTGGCCCCATTGGCCTCATATTCACGGTGATCTTTCTACCGCACTTCAGCAAGTCACCCCCGGCCATGCAATGCGAGATGCCACTCAGCACGTGCACATAACACTGCCCTTGCAACTTCTTGCTGACCCTGGGTCTCACTTCTGCAGGAGGGGCTGGCACCTCCGGCCCCAACAACTCTCCTAGATCCGAAGCATCGGAGCCGTCTTCAGAGACGTTCTCCTGGACAGGTTCATCATCAGGCAAGTCTTCTGGCGCCGTTTCGGGCAAGTGCTGAAACTTCTTGGGATCATCGCACAACGCTCGGGCAACTCTCTCCGCTCTGAGGGGATCAGGCTCAAAATCGCCCTTCTGTATGGCACGCGCAACACGGGCTACCTTGGTGAGAATCTCGGCCAAAGCATCTCTGGAGTAAAGCAGTGCCATTCCATGCTTCGGCGAACAGTGATGGCCTTGCGTCAGCCGCTCTTCATAAGTCATGGTGCAGGATTTGGCTGTCCAAGAAAGGGCTGTTGCCTTCAAGCTGTGGCTACTGTAGAGCTCCAAGTTCACAGCTGGCGTAAGGCAGGAGGCACTATCGAGACCAAGCTGATTCCGGATCTTGATCCACCGCAACCCCCGCGCTGGCTGTTCCAGCCCATTGCCTAGCGCAATCAAGGGCAAGACCGCGTCCTTGCGATCTCTGGCTTTGGTCTTGTAATGCCGGGTCGAGGTCTCGATCAGGCTCAGACCGCTTGACGATGCATCCAACACAAGACCGGTAGCACGGGCCGCGTCCGACCATCTTGAGGATGCAAAGATGCAGAACAAGATGAATCCTCCCACAACTACTTTGAAAAGCTCCTGCGAGTCCAGGACGAAATTTTCCACTGCGGAAACACCCACAGCCGGCAACTCCGGCGCTTGCCACAGAGGGCGCTTGCGGGCCGCCGTACTCTTGGCCACGCCCTCCACTCGTGCTGAGACGCAGGGGTTTGGCGTTGCGCCAGTTAGGCGCGTCATGAACTTATACACCTTCACGAAAGAATCGCCTGACGTGGGGCTGGCGCCAGACGATCTCAAGTGGGAGACATAGTCGTACAGTGCCTGCTCGTCAGGGGCCAAAGGTCTCCCCCTCTGAGCAACAAGCCAGGTGGCGGACTTGGAAAAGTCCGTTGCGCGCTTGATCAGGGTACCTGCCGCCTTGCCAGCGAAGCTATCCTCTATGATCTTAGTTAGCTTTGATTCCTCAACCAGAGTGCCCGCGCAACTCAGCAAGTTCCTTCCCAGTTCCGAGTCATCAGAAAGCAGAATTGTCCGTATCTTCCGCAGTGCCCTCAATCGCATCTCGTCATCCGACATGGCAAAGCGGGCAGCTAAGAGCCTCCGCGCCTCGAAGGTTCCTTTCCTAGTCCATGCCCAAGGCTCTAAAGAGGGCTCCGGCTCCCTCTTGCGCACGGCGCCATCAAACCTCCCTAACACGGGCTCTTGAAACAATGAGGCAGGCACGGACCTAAGCTTCACCTGGCGCTCCCAAGGCATTGGCAGCCTGTGGTTCCTGGCCAACCTCAAAGCAGCATCCATGACGTGCCATTCAGCACTACCTCCTTGAAAAGCAGGATGCCCCTTCAGTGATGCTTGTAGAGTATCAGGCCTGGACCCTGACGTACCATGTGAACCCGAACCTTGGGCCATTAAAGCCCCAAAATTGGTATCTGACCCTTCACTGGCTGTCTCACTGGCCAGAGGGCCTTCTGCTGACACGGGCGGCAGTGACGGACCTGAAGCAACAATCAAACCTGTCTCTGAAACGGGCAAAGGCAAGTCTGTAATTGCAATTGGCTCATGATCCTGACCCAGGCTTGGAAACAGACTCTGCAATTCAGGCAACTCTTCATTGGAAGGAGGCGCATCCTCATGAAGTTGAAGGCCCTCGGCCTCAGACATGTTTCCCCCGCAGAAAGAAGGAGGCAGCCGTTCGAAAGTCCTGATCCAGCTTCAGGCCAGCCTGAAAGGCAGCGATTGAAAGCCAGCAAAAACGGCAAGGTTTTGCAAATCCTGCTGCAGATCCTCTCGAAAAGATCCTGAAAGCTGCAAGAGATACCTGCGTGAGCTTGGTTCAAGATAGTTCCACACTGACAGTGTCACGCAAAGCTTGGCAGGCGCTGCAGTTGCAAGCACACAATCAAGGCTGAGATGACTGTACCCTGAACTAGGGGCTGTAGAACGACTGGATTCTGAGCTGTCACTCATGCGCAGTCCTTACCATCTGCCGTGCTCCCACAGGCCAAGGGACGGAGCACGAACTGCACGCCCCTAGTGGGAACTCGGGTTAGCGAGCCTCAGGCCTCTAGAAAGTATCTAGATACGGCCCGCAAGCCTTGAAAAATTTCTCTGTGGCAACTCAGCCACCTTTGAGCAAAGCTACAACATGCCCAAGAAGACTCAACTGAAAAGTTGCCATGACATCAATGGGACAAAATTCAGCAATTCACATGTGAAAACAACATGCGAAAACAGGAAGCGATCTGTTGATTACAAATTCGCTACGCAAGGCTACGCCGGGCTTGGACAAAAATTTGCTACGCCAGCTCCGCGTCCCATATATTATAGAGCAGCTCATAGCAACGCGCGTGTACTTGATGAGGGTAGCGCGCTTTTGCTCCACACAAAGATGAGCGTCCTCTACATCTCCTGACAGCGCCGCCAGCTTCCGATTGCTACAAGCAAGTGCTGCGAACAATTTTTGAAGCGAAGACAACGATGCTGGAGAGTAGAGGTCCTCCATGTCCAGCTGCAAGAACCGAAGCTCACGTGCTACCATCCTAGAGCGACGAACCCACTTGTCTCTAAACCTCCAGTCTTGGACAAATTTGAAACTGAGCTGGTACATGTTGGCCTTGCGGGATTCATCATCCAAAGGCTTGAGAACACCCATTTTCAAAAGACGATTCCTCAACCTCATCCATTTCAAGGTCCACCTTGGCCAACAAATCTGGATCTGGCCTCACAGAAGAGCTGCAGAACCCCGTCGCCCCGCAACACATCCACAACAGCATTCGCCAACGCCTCGAGTCACAGAGTCTAATCATTATTCGAAACACGCAGACTCGGACTTTTTGGGGTGGCAATGGGAGAACGCTTCCGCTTCAACGAACCTACACTACACTGCAAATAGCTTCTAAAGCTCAGAATTTTACAGCTTACAAAACCTTTAAGGTGGTTCGGCCCTGGCGTGTCATTTTGAGTCTGGTCAGCAGGGGGCGCCGGACTTGATCTGCGCTCAGCTGCCATGGCTTCAAGGCTTCATCTTGCCACCTGTCTGAGGCCTCACGCGATGATCAGACGGCGCCTGCAACTATCCGCCAAAGCTGGATTCTGCTTGGCGTGTATTTTGCACAAGCGTCGTACGATGTAAATCAAACAGCGCGGATCAGGCTAGGCAGACATGAGCAATGTCTGCGCGCACGCACTAGTGGCACCTGGTCTCGCTACACGCTACGCACTTCCCAAATCCTTCCACGCCATCTTGAAACTGAATGAGCCCATGTCACGCTCTGCCCGGCTCTAACATAGATGACCCCCGACATCTGGGCAACTTGTTCTACAAGCAACGTCCTATTCTGATCACTTATGGCACTTATGGGCTCTCTGGTGACAAACTGGCAACGGGTGGCTTTCCCACCTCCGTGTCTCAAATGACCGGTTACATAGCTGGCCTGGTAGTCTATCGCACCGCTACTGCTACTGCTACTGCTACCGCTACTGCTGCTGCTACTGGCTCGCAAGGTTCCAAACTACAACAAGGCCGTTAAACTTTGCACAGCTGGGCTTACCACAGACGGCCTGTCTCAGCTTTGGAGTCCGGACCCGGTCATAACACGCCTGCAAGCTCCAAACACGCAGTTCCAGGCAAGGCAAGGCATGCAACAGATCTATCATCTTCGACTGTAAAAGAGTCTGGGTTCAAGCGACGAACCCCTGAAGGAGCATTCAGCGCAAGACAGCCGCCAACCGCAAAAATTGGCAGTCTTCGTCCACGGTGACTTTTGACTGTCCGACTTGCGTGTTCCTCCCCCAATCCAGGGACTGCTTCATCCACTGCTTTCCACCCTTCGCGGAAACAGGAAGTCAGCTTGGAGCACTTAACTAAATTAGCTCTGCGTGGCTGCGCAACAAGCAGCAGAGTACGCGCCTCTCTTTTTCCTTGGGTTGCTCGAAACTAAAGCTCAGGCGAGAGTTTAAAAGGCTGCGGCCACAGACAACTAAGTGCACTACCAAATCTCAAGGCTAAGGCTGTGTGCTTGTGTGTCAAAAATTATCTGTAAGTAGAAAGCGATCTACATAAGGCTTGTAGCGGGCGAACCGTCTTGGCCTAGGGGCAGTAGTGGCAGCGGATAAGCGTGAGACTCACAACACACAACAAAACACAAAGGAAAAGAACAACTCTTAGCGCATAA